AAAAAAAAAAAAAGAAGTCACCTAATTTGAAAAGAGCAGTACAACTACAGTGCAAAGAAGGTGTTAGAGCCCCATCTGGTGGTCAGACCTTAAAAGTGACATTTTCAAGAGAAAATGCAAATTCTTTCTTTTTAGCTTGTAAATGACAAAAGAACTTCTGGTCACTTCTGGTCTTGGAGCGCGTTTCTGTATTTTCATGTGTTGTGACCTTTTGGAGCACATGTGTCGTCAAACTGATGTTTTCTGAGTTTGCATGTGTTTTTTAATTTGCAGTGTATTGAGCTCTCTCAGCCACCGTAGCCTGGAGACAGACCTGCTGCTGGACCGGAACAGATGCTCTGTGTGACACACTCCTCTCCACAGGGAGGCGCCATCATGACCTTTACTCTACACCTTTAAAGGTAAAGAGGCGGGATCAGTCCAGAGCAGGACACAATCTCATTGGCTGAATAGAGTTGGCATGTGGTCATGGGTGCGGCTTAGTGTGCACATAAATTGAACGTTTGTTTTGTAAAAAAAAACAAAATGTCAGTCATGGCAGATCTCTGCTAAGTGTGGGCTTGGATGTACTATAATGTAAGATTGTATAAAATGCAACAAATCAATCAGCCAATCAATCAAACTCTATTTATATGGCACCTTTCAACAAGAGCAAAGAAAAGAAACTATTAAAAATTATTTTGAGACTAATGCACAATATTCAAGGTCTTGTAAAATACGTGTGAGTGCAGGGCACAGGTTTTCAAGGGGGCTCCAGAGAGTTAAAGTTTAGTTCAGTCAATTTCGTTATTTCTAATTTCATCCAAAACAATTTCACACAAATAAAATACAGTGTCGTTATTATATCTCCAACCTGTTACATATGAACATTCATATATTTAACATGGAGCAAAAGGCTTTTTTAGCCTTTTAGAATAGATTTGAATGCATGTTCATGGCCATGCATTCAAATCTATTTTGTTACAGTAATTCAGAATCACGTGAGTCTCTTACTGAATGGGTGATTAATGCTAACGTAGCTTTGATTCCTAATGTATCCACCACAGCATCATGCTACTTGACTTGGCAGCGATGCCAGTGACTCCACCTTTAACACAGTGTGAGAGAATTGGGTCATTGTGTGAAAACGTGGCCCCTCAAGAGTCACTGCTGCCAAACTGTGTCAAACCTGAAGTGACCTGCTATGATTCACGTTGTCTTGGTTGTGGAAGCGAGTGCTTGGTTCATATCAGAATGGCCCACATTGTCTGGCAACCGCAATGCCCTTGTTTGTGATACTGCCCACACTTATGAATCCCTGCTGTGTGCATATATTTATATATTTTGATTTGGATGCGCTGCCTGGTAAATAATAGATATAGACAGTGTTCCTTTCCTGGAAAACACTTTATTCTCCTATAGCAAGAGATTTACTCTGTGCAATTACCACGGAAGTGTGTGTGTGACTCACTTTTATTATCCTCATAATAGTTGCCATGGGTCACGGCTGAGGATGATTGTTTTTTTGTCCACTTTATGGTTCTGGCACATTTTGTGCACTGTCATTTAGAGATTCGAAGTGAACCATTCATTTCTTTTTCATTCCCCTAATCTACAGGTGAAAACTAAATATGAAAAACCAACACATGTGTTTTTATGACATTGGTTATTGACATGCACCTTATTATCATATCATCATCATTATTTTTCAAGCATAATCTCTGATAAATATTAATATTCCAATAAAATAAGCGCCTAACAGACATGCTGGTCTCTGTGTACAAAGTGTCCAAACCTTTATGACAAGCATGAGACAGAAATGTAGAATATCACTGTATCAATATGGGTAATTGCTCAGTTTATCGTCAAATCTAAGTGCTGAATTTGTCAGTTTTTATTTTATGTCATGCTTTGATTATTTGCAGTTATTCATTTTCCCTAACTCGAAACAAAAAACAATCCTGCTATGTTTTAATGCTGCTAATTTATAAGAAGAGCCTCTTTGTTAAAGTGGGGGTTTGCATGCCTCTTTGATTCTGGGGGCTGTGTTACACAGGCGTCAGGTCCTTGTAGGGAAGAAGAACATTTCCCAGACTTAGCATAGGCATAGCCCCCCCCCCCCCCCCCCCCCCCCCCCCCCCCCC